CCCATGTTACGACGTACTGGATGATATACCATGGTTACTGTATTACTACTGGTATATTGTCTGGTCACCCCATGATACAATGTACTGGATGATATACCATGGTTACTGTATTACTACTGGTATATTGTCTGGTCACCCCATGATACGATATACTGGATGATATACCATGGTTACTGTATTACTACTGGTATATTGTCTGGTCACCCCATTATACGATATGCTGTATGATATACCATGGTTACTGTATTACTACTGGTTTGATTTATATTCAACTCTTTAAACCATTTACTTTTCTACAAATATTATTTCCATGTCGTACGATGATACATCTGTAACGGTTTGGTCAGCAACTGTAAGTATCCAATGAGAGTAATTCTAAATGCAGTGGTTTTTACAAGAAGCGCACGTACAAATGAAAGGAGACGTGCGCACAAGATAACGATATGTTACGATGTTGTTCATAATATTCGAGCTCTAAACCACAACTTTAGAAAGAAAGAAAAGGAAATAAAAGATGAAAAGAAGAGAGGAGAGGAGAGGAGAGGAGAGGGAAAAAAAATAGGAAATTGAAAACCATCAAAGATACGATTGGCATATACTGACCCAGCAGAATTACCGCAGCCATATCTTCGATCTCTTCGATCTTTCTGTGATTGTGAAAGATTCATCTCAGTATTTTTGATTAGTTGTTTTACATCTTTAGGGTCTCGTACGTGCCATTCTCTGACACTGAAGACCAACCTGACCAAGTCATTCAAAAATATTGTGCAACAGTGATGGAAGTCTGTATGGTTGGGCAGATCGCCGCATAAGTATTGGTATCAAATGAACATCGTGTTCATTCAGATAAGACCTAATAAAAGAAACCAACTGGCTAGACCTTCGTGGTTACTTCTACTTAGAGGCGTTCTTCCAGGCACATTAATTCTTCTAGGTAAGATAGTAAATAGATATAGACACTGTATTCACATTTTAATGTCTTTCCGGCCCCTGAGTATTGAAGTAGTTATGACCCCCCATCCCGCACCTATTGTTAGGGAGGGGAGGGGTGGTCTAGATATCAGAATACAGGGGGAGGGGTGGTCATGAAGATGAGCGAAATATTTTAGGGGATTAATGAAATGGAATGTAGAACAGGGTTCAAAGTACGAATTCCAATCACCGTTGCAGAATTTGAAATGTGAAATATGAATACATATTTTTATGGAGAGAAGAGTTTAACAGCCCGCGCTGGAGCTCCGCTATTATGCTTATCATTTTTCAATATCAAGTAAAATCACTCCAACTTCACCGAAAGCACTTCAGAATTATAGTAACTGTAAAGTAGTTAGTCGTTTTTGACACGCTACTCATGGGAGTCAGCCCAGGTCAACTCAATTTAGTTTTTCTTATGATCAAGGATGAAACTGATTTTTAACTGACATTAACGCCGAGGGCTAATCGCCGTATCCAGCGCCTATCCTGTACAATGCGTGGGGGATTCGATTCGACTAGCTAGATTGTGCTTGTGTTTTCTAAACGAGATAAGGCTGGTGATAAACCATATGGTCACTTTATTGGATATCGAGAAACACGCAAAGTCAAAAGTGACAACAGCAAATAGGAATGCTTCTTTTCAAGTGGAAATTAAACCGGATGTCACTGAGGCGGACAGCGCCCCCTACTTGAGGTTCTGCAGTTTCATTGTAGGTAAGAAAAGCGACCTAGATCATGGAAAAGGATTCTATGGAGGTGGTGTAGATGTGGTTTAACAATTAAATGACAATTGGTCTAAAAATTAGTAGTCAACTGACAAATATCCTAAAATAAGTAGTTATCAGTTAACTGATATTTAATTATTTTAGTTAATATGATGGCCAGCGCTGGTAAAATTATTACAGTTAACTGACATTCTGCTGAAAAATTAGTTTATAACTGGAAATTGGGTACCCCATGCGCACCCCCTCTTAAGATTCTCCCCTCGTAGTCAAATAAAAGGGAATGGGAGATAGTTAGGTTAATCTATTTTTCTGGGGGAGGGGATGGAAGGGAGATGTACCGCAAGGCTGATCATGAAAGATTCCTCTATAAAGCCCCAATCCCGCTCCAGTAATGAGCCCCCAAAATCCTAAAATGTTCTGGTCCTTTTTTCTAGGAAGGCCTCTGAAAATCATTTCACATGTCAAGATTATAAATAAATATGATTATGAATTTCCGAAGATCAGGAAAGTTTAAAGTTGTTATTGAGCGCYCCCCCCCCCCCCTTCAGATTCTGATAAGCCCCCCCTCCCCCTGAAAGCACTGGAAAAGGAAAAGAAAAGTTGGTTAATACAGGAAATACGGTAATTTCTGTTCTCGGTCATAGAAACACATGCATATCGCCAAACAAAACTGAAATAAGTGATGTCTAATTGCACTATATCCCTGAGGCAGAACATCGGGAACAAAAGTCCATGGCTGAGTTGACCAACTAGGTCTATACTTGTACTAGTCATAGTCAATGGTTTTAAAAACGACACTGTATAAGAGTAGAGCAATCTTCTTTGTTTTATCTCAACTTTATCATATTTTGTATTAATACGTTCATTTACTTTTTATTTTATATTTTTACTTACATACCTTCTTTCGTTCTTTTAAGTAGATTTTCAATAAAGCATCTATCTACCTTGTTTCAGTCGAAAGTTACACGGCAAATAATTGACAAATGATTTTAATTCCCATTATTCCAATAAC